AGGGCCTTGGAACGGTTGAAAACAACTGATGATTTTGATTTTAAAATCATGATTGATTTGAATTTTTAGTGTTTTATTTTAAATTTATTTAGACAAATAATATAATATAACTGTTATGAAAGCCTGAGTGAAGACTGGAGTTAATAAAAAAATATATACAACATGAAAACAGTTATCGGTATTAGCCTGAATTTTAACATCATTGCATAAGAGACGACAGACTATATTTGACACAATGACGCATTGAACTGACTTTTGTCCAGCCGTAAAGAATGACCAGTATGACCTGGCTCTGCTGCTGCTACGCTACAATGCCACAGTGGACCAAAAAGGAAGTCTTCAAAGAAGTGCTCTGCATGAGGCATCCGTGCTTGGCTTGGATAACTTTGTATACCTGCTCCTACAATCTGGCGCTGACCCAAATGCCATTGATGTCTGTGAACACACTTCTTTAGGACTTGCGGCTCAAGCTGGACATTTTAACGTTGTGGAGATTCTACTTCAGAAAGGTGATTTTGAAATGTACTTGATTCAGTGTTTTTTTTTTTTTTACTGCTACTAAATAGATAATAATAAAAAATATAATATTAAATAGTTTAGATAGACTGTTAAATATTCTATCTATCTATCTATCTGTCCATCCATCCGTCTGTCTGTCTGTCCGTCTATCTATTTATCTGTCTGTCTATCATTGATCACTTTTTTAATAATATTTAATAACCCACTCATGTTCAGGGGCCAGTGTGTGGTCCAAGCCTCATCTTCCAGGTTCAGCCTCAGTTTTATTCGATGCTGCGGCTTCAGGAAACCCTGATATCATCTCACTGCTGCTGGAGTATGGAGCCGATCCCAACGTGCCCACCAACACAGGCCATCTCCCCATCCACCGTGTAGCCTACCGTGGGCATCTACTGTGAGTAACTCACTGCTGATGTAGTGCTTACCCTTGATCCAACCAGAAAAAAATCTGTTTGTGTCTTTCATAGAGCACTGGAGCAGCTGATCCCTGTGACTAAGAAAGAGGTGATCAAAGAGAGCGGCATGAGCCCGTTACACTCCGCCGCTGCGGGCGGTCACTCCCAGTGCCTGGATCTACTCCTGAGTTACGGGTTTGACCCTAACTTCATGTTACACCCCAGAGTGCGCAGAAACTATGAGGACGAGCGCAGGTCAGCGCTGTTCTTCACTGTAACGAATAGTGACGTCCAGTCAGCGAGGCTGCTTCTGGAGGCCGGAGCCATGCCCAATCAAGACCCAGTCAACTGCCTGCAGGTAGCCATGAGACTGGGCAACTACGAGCTCATCAACACTCTGCTACGCTACGGTTCCAACGTAAACTACTACTCCCGTGTCAACACCACCCACTTCCCTTCCGCCCTTCAGTACGCTCTAAAGGATGAGGTGATGCTGCGCATGCTGCTCAATAACGGTTATGACGTGCAGCGCTGCTTTGACTGTCCGTATGGACAGGCCTCACATGTTCCCGTGGATTATGAGGGCTGGAGCGCCTCTGTCATCAAAGACGTGGTGGTAAGACCAGTTGCGGCTCATTTTTAAGCTGTGTCTGTATCAAGGAAAATGATCTGATGTTGTTGAAGGAATAATTCTAGGATCTATGATCATTTACTCACCTTCATGTCATTCTAAACATATACTGTAAACTACCGTTTAAAAGTTTTGGGTCAGTAAATCTTTTTATTTTATTTGAAAGAAAGTAATACTTTTATTTGGCAAGGATGCATTAAATTTAATAAAAGTTTCAGTAAAAAGACGTTTATAATTTGAATACATTGTATCAAAGAATCCTGAAAGATATGTATCACAGTTTCCATAAAACATATTAAGCAGCTCAACTGTTTTCAACATTGATAATAATAATAAATGTTTCTTGAGCATCAAATCAGCATATTAGAATGATTTCTGAAAGATCATGTGACACGGAAGACTGGAGTAATGATGCCGAAAATTCAGCTAAACCATCATAGGAATAAATTACATTTAAATATATTACAATAGAACATTTTAATTGTAATTCTGCTGTATTTCACAATATTACTGTTATTAATATTTTTTTATCAAATAAATGTAGCCTTGGTGAGCATAAGAGACTTTTCTCAAAAACATTAAAAAATCTTACCAACCTCAAATGTTTAGAGTATGACTTTCAGTTTTCTGCTAAACACAAAAGAAGATATTATGAAGAATGTTTGGGCCCAAACAAAATTATACCCCACGGACCATCAACAAAAACAAACAAAACAGAAAAAACACAGAAAGAAAGTCATACATATTTGTAAAAACACGAGGGTGAATAAATGATGACAGAAGTTTAATTTTTGGGTAAGTCTAAACTTGTTTTTGTGCAGTTCTGTGAGGTGATCACAGTGTACTGGCTCAAGCACATCTCAGCTCAAGTAGTGAGAATCATGTTGGATTATGTTGATCACGTGACTCTCTGCTCCAAACTGAAGACTGTTCTGGTTGAGCAAAAACAGTGGCCGGAAATATGTAAGATTCAAGGTGAGTCTCCTGTCACATCTTGAGATTGAGATCTAGAAAACCTTTAACATGGAATTCTCAGCAGGGCCGGTTGCATAAACTGCTAAGACTATACAAGTTAATCATAATTTATTTTTAAAAACTGTTCATAACCTTTTAAGTCTTTATAACTTTTAAAGTTACATATTGGTCTAATTTGATACCAAAATGTCAAACTGATTACCTCTAAGCAACAGTTATTAAGACACAGTCTTAATATAATGGCTATGTTTATGCAACTGGCCCCTGATGTAGGCTATAGATTTCAAATGTGCTGTTATACTTGTCGTAAGTGATTACGTAGATTGAAATGCAGCATATTACAAAATATATTTATGTATGTTTTCTGCTTTCATCAGAAAACGCTCGAAGCCTGAAGCATCTCTGCAGACTGAAAATTCGGGATTCATTGGGTCGCTTGCGTCTGAGGGCTCCAGTTTTTATCAGTTTCCTGCCTCTGCCTGCCAGTCTCAAAGACTATATTCGCTTCAAAGAGTATGATGTTTACAGTAGAGGAAGTATGGCAGAATAAGAGTAAAACTAGATGGATAAATCTGTACATGAGGTGAAATATTCGTTTGTGTTTAAAAAAAAAAAACTCCAGATACATGGGGCCACATTGAAAATCTGTGATTTGAAATTTAATTTAAATTTAGAAAGACAGAAGTTTATGATTTTGGCTCATTTAAAACTTGAAACGGTTTCACTTTATTTTGATGGTCCCTTCAACGCATTCTGTTGACTAAGTAACTTTGCACCTACATGTCTACTAACTTTCATTAGAGTATTAGTAGACTGGTAGGGTTAGAATAAGTTGGCATGTAGTCGCAAAGTTACTTATAGTCAGTAGAATGTCTGTTGGGGGAGCATCACAATAAAATGTTAGCAGATATTAAAAGGATAGTTCACCCAAAAATTAAAATTCTGTCATTGTTTACTCACCCTCAAGTTGTTACAAACCTGTGTGAGTTTCTTTCTTCTGTTGAACACAAAAGAAGATATTTTAAAGAATGTTGGTGACTAAACAGTTGACGGCACCCATTGAATTCCATAGTAGGGAGAAAAAAATATGGAAGTCAATGTCAACTGTCTGGTTACCAACATTCTTCAAAACATTTTTTGTGTTCAACAAAAGAAAGAGACTCATACAGGTTTAGAACAACATGGGTGAGCAAATGATGACAACATATTTGGGTGAACTATTCCTTTAAGCAGACAGTCTACTTATACTGAGTTAGTTGGCACATTTTTGCAATGTTATAAAGTCAACAGAATGTTCAAAAGGGACCATCAAAATTAAAGTGTTACCCTTGAAACAAATGATTAATTTTGCAATATGTCTAGGTGAATAATCAAATAAGCCCATTTGTGAAATTGATCATGTGATCTTTCTTCAGTAGTCAGAAGGTCTTCCACTGAGATGCATCAAATCATGCATTATGTTTATCACAAACGTGTGGAGTTCATGCAGCTGGAGTGCTGCTGTCATTAAAAGTCAAAAAGCTAAATAGAAGCATTTTCTTAAGCTATGTCAAGTCAAATATATTTATATAGCGCTTATTTATGAATGCCTGGCTAAATAGATGCGTCTTTAGTCTAGTTTTAAACTGGGAGAACGAGTCTGAGCAACGAACAATATCAGGAAGGCTATTCCAGAGCTTCGGAGCTAAATGTGAAAATGCTCTCCCTCCTTTGGTGAATCTGGATATCCTAGGAATGACCAGAAGCCTCGAATTTAGTGATCTTAAAGAGCGCGATGGACTAGGCCTATAGGGCGATAGAAGATCCGTTAAATAGACTGGAGCTAAACCATTCAGAGCTTTATAAGTCAAAAGCAATACCTTGTAATTAATACAGAACTTTATAGGTAACCAATGAAGTGATGATAGAATCTGTGTTATATGATCATATTTTCTTGATCTAGTAAGAACTCTAGCGGCTGCATTTTGTACTAAGTGTAGCTTGTTTATTGAAGATGCAGGACAACCAGCCAATAAAACATTACAGTAATCTAGTCTCGAGGTCATGAATGCATGAACTAACTTTTCTGCATCAGGGACTGATAGCATAACGTTGCTTAGCTATGTTTCTACTTCATCAAGCTGAATGTGAAGACGAGCAAATGTCTATGTGCATTAAATATGTGATTTGTATACTGTATGTTAGAATTATGTAATACATGTCTCGATCTCGATATGTCACGTGATTATATTGCATGAAATATAATGATTCTGGGTGGGATGAAGTGCACAAACATACGCAGTGACTTTCCCCAAAGAGTTTATTGTCGTCAGACAGCTCGACGATTCGTTCTTGGCTCCTTGTGTAAGTTAAACCTACTAGCCACCATCTGTCTGTTAAGCTGCTCATGCGCATAACGGTCGTGACGTCTAGACGCTACGCAGTTCTCAGTAGCGCCACCGGGGGGCGTCAGGCTACGTGAAAGTAAACAGAGTGACGCCAGAGTTTTGCAGTGGTGGGGAAGGTATACGTCACAGGCATAATGGCGGAGGCTGGTTGAGAAGGAGAATTACTCCGAGAAGCGGCATTGAAACCAACTTCATCGCCAGCTGACTAGGTGACTGCAGGTCCGAAAATGGCTTGCAATTTCAGCCAGGAGAGAAAAATCGACAAGGAGAGCAGCAAGATCGGCGGCCTAACATTGGAGGATGGCGACAGCAAGAAACAATTGTTGTCAGCCTCTAGCACGGCCACATCCAAGCAAAATGGCGATCAAGCTGAATGTGAAGACGAGCAAATGTCTGAACAAGATGCCACTGAGCGGCGGAGGGCAGGGCTGTTGGACCTGAAAAATTGCGGCGGTGCGCCCTCGACACTGCCGAGGTCGACCGAGGAGCTGCCAAGAAGGAATTTTCAGATTCCTAGGAAAATCAAGGAGCGGAAAGGTTGTGTGTCCCATTATTACCACTACTACTGCCATTCCCGAAATGGACTGTTTTTGTTTCTCAGCTTTCAAGTTCGCTAAAAGCGCGCTCTTTGGTGCTTCGGGTCAAATGATTAGACCTGTATTGATATATAAACGTGGGATCTATATAATAAAACACGTGATTAGCCTGAAAGGTTTGCACTAGTTACTAAATGGATTTTTAGGGAGTGCAATGCTCGGAGCTGCAGGCAACGTTACGTCGGCGCTCTAATGCAACTCGCAGCACGTGAGGATTCGATTCGTTCGACGCTAAAAAGACGCACATTTTTGTCTAGCTGTTATAAACCTCACGGAGGCCGGTGTCATTGCTTTGCTAGTTGGATCCACACTCCTCCCACACCGTACAGAATTGCTGCACCACATGACACACTTCTTCCCCTCCTCATCAATGGCACCAGTGTGATTCGGTTGACCACTGCATTTCTCCGTTCAGTCTTTACGCACGACGTTTTAAACACCTGTTAGTCCTGAACAACCAGCCTTATTTAGACACCTCATTCATTCGCGCACTATTTCCGTATAGCGCTAAAGAAATTAAGACAGGAGAGCTTCCCAACAGAAAAACACTGCCTGAATGAAAGCGAAACTGGTGCTTGTAGTAGCTAATAGTTGTACTTTAAGTTAGTTATGCATGGCAACTCTCACTTTGTCACCTTTGTTGTGCAAGTTTCTGTCTGTAGGCGTTTTATCTTATCAAAAATAGCAGAACATGCACTAAACTATTGTTCTAAAGAGGACTAGACATTTCAAATGCATTTTAAACTCCGTTTTATGTCGCCTCGTAAATGTTTTGAATGATTAGTGAATCGACCAAGAAGATTTGTTTGGCCATTATGAGGTCGATTAACGGAACTAACCAAACATTCGATAGTTTTGCTTTTTGATTATGAAAATGTTATTTCGTTTGTTTTTAGCGAATTTATAGTAAATATGACACTATTATTTAATTATTTTGTGTCTTATTTGGCAACGTTATTTTGTGCAAGTATCAACATAATTTAAGCGACGGCTATTAAAAACCCAATTTCACAAGTTTTGATCGGTCTTTTATTGCGTTGAACTGCAAGATGCATCACATTGTACAGAGTGGCTGTCAGGTTATGTGCAACTCTTTACTATGCATTCCAGTTGGCAAAAAACAAAACAATCAAAATACACTATACAGCTTTTGTATAAATGTACTTGATAGTTTCTTTTATTGAATGCATTGATGTTGTTCTGATCTAATGAGCTGGGTCTTTAATGTGTGCTGTCCTCCAGGTCTCCTTCAGCATTTGTCTCCAGATTCCAGAGAGTTTGAGGAAGTTGTGAAGCTTCTGTCCTCGTTCTACCTGGACGCCACATCCCGTGGGACTTTCACCTACACCAAAGCTTCTCTCATTCACAACGAACTCTTGGAGAAAGAGGTGAGAGAGCTGCTTGCAATTGTAAAAGACTAGATTATTGAAATACCCATCAGGCCACTTTGGGGGCATTTTTCAGAGAATCAAATACTGATATGAAATAATTTGTCATTTTTGCCTTCACAGTTCATCGAGAAGAAAAGGGAACTGAAGCAGAATGGCAGGACAGAGGCTGAACTCGCAGAATCCTATGCTTTTCTGCTACCTGATAAGAATAAGGTGAGGTTGTGTTAGTTTTGCTTAGTGACACAATGTCAGTGAGTGTTATTTTAATCATAATATTAACACTTGGACTTTTTGTAGTCTGAGCTTGACCTCAGAATTTTGTACTACTACATATCCTCCTTGGGTGCAGTATAAACAAAACTTATTATTCTTGTTCTGTTGTTCCTGTTAATTTACTGAATTGTAAAGTGTTTATAATGCATTTACAACATAACTGCTACAATAATTACAATATTGGCAGTACTTTGAATAAAAAAATGTCAGTGTAACCACTTTCTTGTCTAAGTATTTATCAAAAAAACAGACATTTGAAAGGGCTTTAAATGGCATAATTTAGCGATAGTCTTGGTCAAAAGTGTGACTAACCAAATAAATATCTGATTTTCTTTACAAGGCTCACTGGATTTGCGAAAAGGGTCTTTCTGTGGGACATTCGCGGGTCAACAATCTGGGAAGCCCTCTCAAAGGTGAGCGTTGTGCTTCCAGTGAGTCTGTGTATATCTGTTTAGCTCTAATCCTTTGCTTGGGATGGGAGTCCTGGGAGGATTTTGTATTACTGTGGTCACTTGATCTTTGGTTTGGAATAGCTGAATTGGTCAAGGCCAAAAAGACCACTGCTCCATACTTTCTTGTGATCACTGGGCCAAGTAAATGTTAATTAACCAAACTTGCTACAAACGCTCATTTTTGCATTGATAAACTTTTTAAGTAACATCTGTTTTATATATTGGTCACCCCTATTACCTCTGTCTATTTTCAGAGCGTGTTTGAGGTTTTGGAAGTAATATTATGTTCATTTTTTTTAATTTGAGGCAAATTTCGGATGCATGATCTTTGTATGGTTGAATTGTGAAGCAGCGGCTGTGTGTTTAGAGACATTCACAAACCCAGTTTTGTAAATCTTGTAAATGCGACTAGGATCGCTTTAACTGGTGAAATTAATAGTTTCTGCAAATATTTAATCTTAGCAAACATAGTATGCTCTATGCAGAGACTGCATTCCAAATGGATTGCTAACAAATTTCTTGGGATTACCCCAAGGCTTTTTGTGGGTCACAGGAATGTCAGCCCAAGTAACTCTTCGATCCTTTTTTTATTTTTAGGGGTTTACCTCTCAAAATACTCAGATTTGTTACAAATGAATCCATTTGAAGTGGGTGCTGCTGGAGACATAATAATATTTAAAGTGATGAAGGTAAGTCTGTGACCAAGCATCAAATGTGACTAAAAGTTGACTGTGTCTTTCAAAAATAAAAAGTACATAAACTTCACTGCGGTTTCAAAACCAATAGTGACTTTTTCTCTTATTCTGCAGGGTAAAGTGAAGACCATATTTGAGAACATGCCCAAAAATAATCTTGAGCCGGCCCTAAAATATGACAGCCATGTGTACAAAAATGCCAGCAAAGTGACCTCATTATTGTCGTATAGGGCCTTTGAGCACACTCAGGTGAGTTGAGTTTTGACAATATGACTTTTTTTCTTCGTAATGTGTTCAGATGTGACCTGTTATGTATCTGATTTCCTTCTGTGTTTTATTCCAGCAATACTTATATGAATTTGCTTTTGAGGAGCTAAGATCCAGGCCGAGACATGTGCTGCCATATGCAGTTGTGTCTTTTCAATACAAAGGCAAAGAGTCGGCCACGGCCACACACAGGTATGAACGGGATAACTGGTGATCTGTGTAGAAAGTGTTCTCTGTGTTCTCAACACTCTGTTTTGGTTGTATTATTTTATTTCTAACAATTTATTTTCTCTTTTAGTAGATTAAACAGCATGTTATATGAAGGGCAAAGAGGTATGATTTGTATTTCTCTTTATAGCAGCCTAATAAAATGATTAGATGGGCATATTATCTAACTTACTGTATTATTATTCCTAATTTGATGCTTTAGTTCGACGAAGATATACAGTTTGGAGTGGCTCGCTGGTGAATAAAGGAGAGGAGGTCTATCAAGTGTACATCCGGTCTTCAAGACTCGCTCACCTTCCTCTTAAACTGTTAGTCTCATTTCTTTCAACCAATGCAATTTAACAAATGTTTTGTGCATTGGTTTAAAGTTTTTTTGTTTTTTTTCAGGCCAGACAAGCTTGACATCAATATTGCTATGCATATTGATCAAGTGAAGAGAAAGATCCCGCCCGTTCTGCTATCGTGGGAGGCGTACAGTGGATCACGAGAGGGTAGGATGAGTACCAGTGATGCTTTTCAGCCCAATACATGGCAAAACATTTGATGTGTCAGTATTGACATGTGATAATGTGGTATTTTGCAGTGTTGAAGTGTGGGATGTACTGCAGCCTGTATGAGGTCATGGGGAAGAGTAAACAGGAAAACAATCTCTCGGGACTACTGCACCGGCTTGAGAGAGAAAGAATGGTGAGCTCATTCACAGGCCACTTTACACTTTGATTGAATTAATCTCTTTATAGCGTTACCGCCCACCCTCTCCCCTCTACACAGTTTCTTCATTCTGTTGATAGAATCTGTCAGTGATGTGATGTGCAGAAGTAAAATTGGTGATGTTTTTTATTATAGTCATGCTATAAATAAACTCTTCACTCTAGGTTTTGGTGAAGCCATTGATAGACAAAGGATTTCTCTTCCTCCTTTCGTCCTCTCAGTTGTTCGCTACCACTGGTAGGTATATGCATAGTCTTTAACCTTGTACATTGCATTGGCACTGTGATTTTTGGCATGGAGTAATGGAGGCTGTGTGTTTGTTTCTTTTTTTTTTAAAGAGCGACGAGGAAGAAATGACAGGGTTTTGCAGGCACTTTTTGTTTTTCAAGAGCAAAGAATCATCTCAAAATTGAGTAAGTGTCTCTTTTTTTGGTAGTTTCTTGCAGTTTGTTTGTTTGCATTTTAAGTGTCTATGCATCACCATGCAGTCCTTCTAATGGCGTTTGCTTTTTTGTGGCAAAGTTTTGAAGAACTCTGGAGTTGATGAGGATCCTCCACTAGAGCCTAAAGACCCAATCAGCCACCAACTAGATAATTTTGTTCCCGCCCTGCATCATGGTCTCCACAAGCTGCGTGCCAATCCACCCAAAGAGCTTGCGGTGGGGCTGAAACTTCAGGCGCTGGACTACCTCAACCAGAAGGAGCAAGGTGCTATCCGGCCCTTTCACGTTGTAGAGTACCGGCACAGTCTGGATGAACGGACAAGCCAACACCTGGTGCCTCGTCCTAAGAATATGGATTTGGCGCTGAACTCTTACATATATGGTCCGGGACAGTTCCAGCTGCCTGTGGAGGCGCTGCAGCAGGGTCTGATGGAAAGCAAACAGGAGGCAGCATCTCAGGCAGCATCTCCCCCAGCAGGTGCAGAAGAGTACAGTCCTGTCTCAGACTGGGGAGGGTCAGATAGACAGGCTTCAAGCAGCAGTACAGTTGGGGTTTCTCAGTCTAACGGTGGCGCTCAGAGGACACAGAGTGAGTATGACAAAGAAAAGATGGAGAAATTGCTAAAGTTGATTCAGTTACATAAGCGGACTTTGAGCAAGGAGGAGGGCAGCGGGCCGGAAAGAGAGGAGGACTGGGACCCCGCTGGCCTGAAGAGGAGGTTGGAGAGGGAAGGTCCTGGAAGTGTGAGCAAGTACCTTAGGACAGGTCTACTGAATGGAGAGCCAGGGAGAGGTGAGTCTGTGCTGAAAAAATTTAGAGGTACAGCATGGAGGTTGGATACTACTGTAAGAGAACAACAGTTAGACAAAATAAAGAGACCAATATGCTCAATGAAGACCAGGAGTCAAAGTTCTCCACACTTCTAAAGGCCGTAGAAAATAAGAGGATCCAGCCTCAAACTAATTTAGGATACAGATACATTAGTACTTAAAGTTAATCAGTGGACATCATTCCTACAGGTTCTGATATGTTAACAGTGCAGATAATTCTAGCTGCATCCAAAAATAGTATTCTGTTCTTTATGCAAATGAGGTCACTATCTTTGACACACTTCATCCAATATATGTAAGAATTTTTGGTGAGGGTCACATCAATTCCTGATTGACTCTTCTCAGTTAGGGCCACTGTTGAACTCTCCTGGAGACTATGTCTTTGGCAAGGTCACATGCTTCTAAAAATACTAAACAACCCCTGCAAGCAAAATTAGATAAAACATAGGCAATATCTTTTCCCTTCAAGGCTCAGTTTTTGTCAGGACTTCATTGGAACAGAACATGAAAGCTGATTTCCAATTCATTATATAATACACTAAGAGGGATGGTAAATCCACCCCCTTCACTATACAGGGTTCCCAAAATCTTGGAAAATCTGAAAGTATCAAGGTTTTGGAATTGTAAAGGCTGTGAAAATTAATGGAAGTTATTACCAAAGTTTCTTAATTCTCTCTTCTTGACTATCTCTTATTTAGTGCTGTTATTTAAGTAAAGGTGGTATTCAAAGGGTCATGTGAAGTGATTGTCATATGTCTAATAGAAGTGCAGTGTGCCTAATGAGAGACAAGTTGCTCTATCTACTTGCATGATCTCCAGAGACGCAGAGAGAGAAGACGTCAGATTGAGGCTGACGCATCAGCCCGACCCTAAGAGTAACTGTATGTGCTGAAGGACCTTACACTGAAATTATTAACAGTGTTCACAATGCAAGAATGTGCCTGCAACTAATTTAGTTACTTTATGACAGCTACCTAATGAAGTCTCTCTGTTTTTCTGTATGCATTTCTTTCGTGTTTTTGTTTCCAATTACACAATCACTAAAAGGTGAATCCTATGAAACCTGTCAAAAACATGCCTGGGTTTTGTCATCTAAAAAAAAAAGAGAGAAATTTTATGTCTTGCAGAAATTATGTTGAGCTCAATAGAGTGTGACTGCAGTTCCTTAGAGACATGAGCTCCTTGTTGACAGCTGGTTTCTCTTTCTCTTAGTGGTGATGGACAGCATGGGGCTGTGTGACACAGACCTGCGGGAGCGCGTTTCTCAGAGTGCCACCCTCCGAGACACGCATGCCTTGCTCAAACTCTTCCTCAGCACGCTCAACAGGATGGCCCAGAACTCTAGCACTGCCAGCAGCCAGCCTGCAATTCTCCCCAAAGACATAGAGGGATACGAGCCCACCGACTCAGCCGCCCACTGTGATCTTGACCTGCGTGGCAGGCGTGCTGATGCAGAGCAGGTTAACCTGGATTGCTTGGAGGTGTGGACTGTTCCTCATGATATCTAATGCCACACTCAACTGTTGTTTTAGTTAACCTTTAGAATATGTGTGTAGGAGCAAATGGCCTGCAGCAGGAGCAGTGTGGATGTGTACAGTCCCTCTTCCAGTCTGGAGCAGCAGCTCTCCCGTCCAGCAGAGACCTCACATCAGAGCCACAATCCCTGGAGCATATCCACCGCAGGTTCGTCCTCACCTGCATACTTGCAACAGACTTGTTCGTAACACACACCACTGTTCAAAAGTTTGGGGTTGGTTAGAATTTTTTTTATATATATATTTTTGAAAGTGCATTTTTTTTTTATATTCATCCTGAATATTCAGCTTTGCCATCATATAAATACCTTTTGAAATATAATAAACAAGAACATTTATTATATTTCAAAAGGTATTTCTATGATGGCAAAGCTGAATATTCAGGAGCCATTGCTCCAGTCTTCAGTTTCACATGATCCTTCTGAAATCATTTTGATATGCTGATTTGGTGCTTCAAGTCATTAGTCACTTTAATGAGTTTACGTTCGTATAACAATTATTGATTTAAATATGCTTTCTTTCAGAGTCAAACCTTGTATACCCCCTTAAACACTTGTACAGTGTAAAAATATTTTAAATAATAAATTGTTACATTTATTGAAATAATAATGAATTGACAAGACTAATAAACATATTCTGTTTTTAGCTTTAGAGGGTGTTTGTGAACCTTTTGTTAGTGGAGGGGAGAAGCAGGGACACTCTACGGGCAAAGTAGTAGACTCTATCCTCGACAGTGAGTTCCAGAACCTCTGCACAGGGATTCAGAAAATGATGGAGGACCAACATATAACCTACACCCCCCAAACTCCTTTGCCACGACCTGAGGATCAGACCAAACGGGCAAGCTCATTCTCACCTTTTGTTTCCAAATATGTCTCCTCCCTGCCTGTGCAGGGCTACGTTAACAGTCTCTGTGAAAAGATGGATCGTATGATCCGTTCTCCCAGCGTGTCTTTAGAATCTGTGGCTGTTACGTCACCACCTGCCGCTGCCCCAGTGCCCGCCCTCTTGCCACCTACTCCACCCCCTTCTGTCATGCCAGCTCCTGCCCAACCTACGCTGCCCTCACCTGCTGCTCATCCTCGCACTAAAACATCATCTCCAGTGCCTAAGTCTCAGGCTTTGTCGAGCAAGTCACAAGCTACCCTTAAACATCCTTCAGCCAAGCATCGCCTTGGCACTGTCAGAGAGGTCCACCTGTTTTCAGCAGAAAAATCAGTTGACCCCAAGGGTTCAGATGTTGTGGAAAGTCCTATGTGTTCCCCATCAGCAGGAAGTGCCAGGCATCCTCCAATCCCTTCAGTCCCAGAGATGCCCTCTGAGCCTACTCTTGCAGGAACCTCAAGCACTGTGGGGGCCAGTGTTATTGGACAAATCAAGCCCGATGTGTTGTGCACACTGATGGAGATCATGCAGAAGAATGCAGTAAAGTTTTACATTCAGAGAGGAGAGGAGGAGAGTGAACTCTGCACTGAGATCAAGGTCTGAAAGTATTTAAATGTCAGAATATACAGTGTGGTCTGATACTTTTGACCAACCTTTAAAAACCCTTATCTTTCACCTCCCTTGTTTGGTTTTACAGGAGTATTTAAGAAGTCTTGGAAACATTGATTGCAACCCTCAGAATTACCTAGAAATTAAAAGTCAGCAAAAGTTTATGATCATTATTCAGAATGAGGATATCGCAGCTCATGTACATAAGGTAACTAATAACTCGCCATTGTAAACTTCTGTTTCTTAAGAGTATTATTATTAGTTGCATAAAGCATCCATTTTGAGACATTGTTCCCTCTATACCCCATTTAGATCCCAGCTTTGGTGTCTCTGAAGAAGTTGCCTACAGTTTACTTTGCTGGAGTGGACAGTCTGGATGATGTGAAGAATCGCACTTACAATGAGCTCTTCGTGTCTGGAGGCCTTATTGTGTCGGATGAGCTCATACTCAACCCAGACAATATAACACTAGGTAAGAGCTGAATGGCTTAGTGGCTTACAAAATCTTCAGGCCACTGTCCAAAAGTTTACTGTGTGTGCTTTTAAATTCGTAGCTTTAAGTGAATGCAAAAATGTGTGTATCCTTTAATTTAAAGGCAGCATTTTCTAAATGCATCTTAATTATCTTATTGTGTATTATTTATTCACATGTTTATTTTTATTTTTTTTATATGATGTAACATAATTTTTTATTAAAAACATCATTACTCGATCTTCCGGTGAAAACAACAGACTTCTCTGGTGACATACTTCTCCAAACATTAGTCTGCTTAAAACTGAATCTTTCTTCCAAATGGTGCAAGCTTGCATTCAGAACTGCCTCCATCAAATCAACAACCGATTAATTTGATAATCCATTTCACTCGGATGTATGTAGCAATATGGAAGAAAATGTCTGTTTCTACTTTCATTACATCAAGACTTTAAGAACTGACATTTATGTTTACAGAGAAGCTACAGGCATTTCTTAAGTTCCTGGAGGAACAGGGCTCACCCTGGAAGTGGAAGGTGCACTGTAAGACGCAGAAGAAGCTTAAAGAGCTCAGCAGGTTAGAGACAGAATGATTAGTCTAATTCACCAATCCTGACAGACTCCTAGTCTCCAATATCTCACACATCTTTCCTTTCACAGGTTAAACACTGAGGCCCTGAATCTTTTGAACCTGCTGACGACATACCAGAAGAAACACCTGGTGGAGTTTCTGCCTTATCATGAGTGTGATACTCCTTCTAGGCAGGCTCCTGATTTGGACTGTTTGGTAAAACTGCAGGCTCAACACACACAGCTTCGACACCTCATCTTCCTCACAGGTACGCGCAACAGGTCTAATTGAAGGCTGGTGTTTATGAATGGGGGTATGTGGAATCATCTGTGATGTTTCTTAATCAATCGGTGCTGTGTTTATATACAGAAAGGCATGACGACACATTCTCACAGTTCTCCGGTAGTGGAGTGATCATTGCGGGTATGAATGACATCATGAACAACTTCCAGAGTTTGATCAGTGTCCCAGAAGAAGTAGCATTGGCTGCCCTACCTGATCCAGGTAAAGACTGCAGAGTTCTTTACTACTTCTGACAAAATTCACAAAGAAATTATAGATGTTGATACGGTATCTTCTCTTTGACTGCTCAGTGGAGCCTGATGCAGTTCGAGATGAGGAGGACATGTCTATAGACTCTGAGGATGACATGCTGGTTATCAATGAGACTTCCATTCAGACTGAAAATGACCTGTCGGAACCGCAGGCACCTCAGCCCCCTCCGCCTCAGACTGATGGATTTCGTCCTCCCCTCCCTGACCAACCCTCTTTGGACCCCATTATCGATCCACTTGTGCATCCAAACCCTACCACCTACCCTACCCAGGGCTCTTACTTGACTGATTATGCAGCTCTGAAGTCTGCCATCGCTCAATATAAAGCTGCCAGTCAGGACGGCACCCCTAGGCCTGAAGTAGAGGACACCCTGGCCAGTTTTGGCGTGAATCCCCACCAGAGCTACCTGTGTCCCAACTCAGCACAGTGGAGCCCTTACTCTGGTTCCCCTGCATACCATATGTCCTCGGCATATTCATCTCCTGTCAGCGTGGCCTCCAGGGGATCAGAGTACAGTCAAACTGCTGCTCCTCCTGGGACTCAACCTCCTACAAACTCCTGCACCTTACCTGTTGCCCAACCACTCACCCTTCCCCTTTCCCTCCCACAGCCGTCAGTTAGCTTGGTGGAGGTGCCTCCTACTCCAGAGTCAGCCTCCTCTCTTCAGCCACCTGGTCCTGTTCCTGACAGTATGGGAGTGCCTGGGGCGGCAACTGCTAATCAGCAAGGACTTGCTGGCTCTCAAACTGCTAAGATGTGTGTAGAGACTGCTTCCTCATCCTCCGCTTCTTCCTCGTCCACTATTCACACCACTTTTCCCTCCTACCCAGATGCTACGCTTTTCCCAGCCCTCACTCCAATTCCCCCTGTTCCACCGCTTTACAGCTGGGTTCCTACACCGGGAGCCCAGCAGGGATATGCGGCTGGACAGAGTGGGGCAGGATTCAGCACTCTTCCTTCCACCCAAACTGAGGCTGCTAGGCCTGCAGATGGATCGTGGGTGGGAGACACTGAGAGCGGAACCTCTCGTGGACAAGAGGAAGATGATGTCCCTGCTTCAGCAACCTCTAAAGTGGGCCAGCAGGAGGGCAGTAGAGATAAAGGAAGTGCGCTGGGTAGTTCGACCTCATGCAGCCAAGGCAGCAATATTCCAGTGGACTCTTCCTCTGAGAGTCAGGGAAGCAGTCAAGCCCCTCCTACCAGGGGTGGCACTGCAAGCCGAGGACTCTTACCCATCCCTGGAGCCACACTGGGAGCCTTGTGCCGAGGCGGACACAACAATAGCATGTACAATCCCAGAGGTGGATCAGCTGATATGATGCGTGGTGGCTTCAGGGGTCGAGGAGTACCACCACATCCCATGAGATCTAGACCTGGCCGGGGTCACATCAGAGGGGGCCCGTCCTGTAACTGGGGCTATCCCCCTGGGAGGGGAGGGGGTGGTCGGCCAGACTACTATTCGGACTACACATACAACTAAATGCCATAGGGATGCTATGCTCCCTCATAGACTACTGGCATTAGGAATGTACATATTTACCATTAAGAGCACATCAAAATATCATCATCTGAAATAATAAAAAAAAAAAATTTAATCTGGTTTTGTATAAATGAGATTGGTGACTCAGACGGTGGCCAGATTTCCACTGTTTTCAGTAATGCCCTTCCTAAACAAGATGTTTGAGAAACCTTGTTCATACCACTATATTTATATTGCCAAGAAATGTAATTGCCTTTCAATGTTTCATTTTTGTCAATACTTTTTGTTCGGATTTTCAAAAAAAACTGTTTGTGAACAAGGAGCAAAATGCAGACAATATTTTTTTAAAGAGAGAAAGTGAGTCGTTCTTCATTTTAGCTGTTTTTGGTTTTTTTTACATTCTTGGTTGTACAGATGTTCTATTAAAACAAGGTTGTATCAAACATTGTGATATTGTGTTCAGTATTAACTCTTGGGAATGGTTGTACTCTTTGTACATGTACATAGTTATTTATGATGTTATATAAAAATGGTTAAGGATTTTCTTTTCCAATGAGGTTAATCAATGCCAAAGTTGTTTCATATGTGTGCATTGGTAACATTCGACCTAATGGTTTTATAGCCGGCCAGCAGAGGGCATCATTTCCTAATTAATTCTGCTGGTCTGATGCTGATGCAATTTTCTAAAGGGTTTGTTTTTTTGTCAAAAAACAATGAATCAGTGTGTTTAAATGTATAAAGAAGATTATGCATCTTTATTTCAAAACTGACTCTGAATTTGCCCTTTGTATATGACAAACATGAATATGGTTAGCTGAAGTTCTGTAGAAAATACCTCAGGGCATTTCACAAATGTTACTATTTAGATAAACAGCTATGTCTCTAAAAAAAATAATGCGTACGATTTTGTTTAAAACACCTTTTCTGCTATTTCTATAGTTCAACCCAAGTGAATGTCAGATGTGGCTGGGATGTTGTTGATCTGTTGTTTGGTTACATTTATCACCTCCTGAGTTCAGTATAGGTTAGAAAGAAAAATAAGACCAAATCATGCCAACAGCAGAATGAAAAAAGAAAAAGAAAGCTTAAAGGATTAAGAGAAGGCTGAAAAAATTGTTGGAGTACCTAGGTTTTCCCCAAAGAGTAATCTGCTAAAATCTGACTCCCGGTCATCTAATCTCTCATTTAATGTAGTCATCTCTTAAAACAACTCTATAAACAAACTGTTTTTCTGTTGTTCCTCTGTATTGCACAGATAGGGAGACTTGATTTTAACCACATCAAATGAGATGAGTTTATGACAAGATCAGATCCGTTTGGTGAGTCTGATAAATGTTTTGGGAATTTTAGGATGTACATGTTACGGACTTAAAGAGAATGAGATCTAATGAGAAATGATTGAATGCGATCACATAGGCCTATTTTTTATTTATTTAAACAAATCTGGTAGCATTGCATTTGGCAGGGCTTTGTGAACTGCACAGCAGTTGTCAAACAACCAGGGGACATGTGTCGTATTACGTATGTGAAAGTGGGTTGCCGCCCGCAGATAAATCTGATCACATCTGGAAATGGACTGCATGGATTTACTCTGTACCTTGGTACCCTTTCATTTTCATATTTTGCTTTTAGTTTGCATGGTGTGGGAGGGAAAATTCTGGCAGGGGTGTTAATCCTCTCTCATAGCACATCTCTGTAATGAAAGAGCAATTTGCTTAATGCTAAGTGCAGAAATGAATAATATCACACATAAACAGACATCACTACATTGCCTTCGCTGCTGCTTCTTCATTTATCTTGTTCTTTGCTTTTCACAACTGCTAGGTGCGAGCTAGAACATTTATTTTCGTATATGGTTCCGCACCAAAATTCGTCGTTTTTTTTACATAAAGGATTAGATGTATCTAATAGTAATGACACAACTGAACAGATTAAACCTTAGTCTTAAATAGATCTAGAAGGTCTTCTGTTGAGGTTATGAGATTACTGATATGTCCTCTCTTTAAATCACTGTCTGCTTTATCTTTCTGAAAAACTATACATGAAGAACTTGTGGTCACTCTATCTTCCCATCTAAATGAGATGTGTAACTGACTAAATCAGATGAAGCGCTGATAGTTTTTGATCTGTGCAAATAACTGCATTGCTGACAACCTTTTGTTTGTCACGGTGACTTTTGAGCTTTTTGGAGCAAATTCAATACATTTGCTCCTGGGGTCTCTAAAATATAAGATTTGCCGCTTTGGATTTTCAGCACATTACTAGCAGCAGCACAGTCCCATGCATTCATTACTTCATACTGTGAGAAAGGAGACACCCTCTAAATCTGAGGATCAAAATAATTTATTAGGGAATAATGACAGATTAATTGGTGATACTTGTACCTATAATTCAAACAGGTTAAGCAATCCTATAGGATTTTGAAGTCACAAATGTGCTACTCTGAGTAATTTCTTTAGCTGATAATGGTAATGTTTTCTGTGTCCCATTCAACAGCAGGCTGTTCAACAACAAATGCAGCTTTCAGATGGCCGTTTTTCCCTGCCATGAGTGGCTCAAGGAACATTACATGCCTGTCGGACTGAGACTTGCCCTTGAGTCGATCAGTTGAAGGATCAGCAAAGATAGAGGCCAGAGTGCAGCGGTCTTCTCCAAAGGTTGAGATGGCTGGAGAGGAGGGAGGAGGTTTGCAGCAACCACAGCGACATGGGGTTAAATACAGATACATCAATATCAGGACAAGGGTCACAACACACCCAAAAAGAGTGGTGTAGCCTGTGTTGAACGGCTCCTCTGAGGAGCGCTGGGCTACGACAGTTAGGTTCACTTCTCGTGATTCATTTATCATCCTTGTATTATCCACAGCAGTGCACTGGTAGACCCCCGAATCTATGGACTGGGCAGCAAGAATATCCAAGCTACCATCTTGATTGAGACGTAGAGTTCCGTTCTGGATCAGCTGAGAGATGTTCTCTTGATGAGGAATGATCCAGCTGTAGGACAGGTCTTCTCCATTTAGTGTTCCAGTGCAGTCCAGTCTCACTTGTTCACCCTCATAAACAACTTTATCAGCCTTTGGGGATATCAGGGATATCATCTTCCCAATTGTACAGTTCTCAAAGAAGTGTGCAGAGCGCAGAAAATTAATTGAGATTTGAGGTTCACCATACTTCAGACACTTATAGTCATCCTTGTAGTCTTTCACGCTTGCGTATCCCTTCTGCTCCCAGTGCCAAAACATGCGGTACACAGAGCAATCACACTCCAGACGGTTGTTATGCAGAAACAGGCCTTTTTGCACCGCAACAGGCAACAGCACAATGTCATCCATGGGCAAACGAAACAGACGGTTTGAGGAGAGGTCCAGCGTAACCAGGTTGGGGTGGCTATGCTTGCGAACTGAGAAGAACGGGAAGTCTGTGATCTGGTTGAGGCTAAAATAAACCTTTCTGAGACTACCGAGCCCCATTAGTGTGTTGCTCTCCACGCGGGAAAGACGGTTGTTGTACAGCAACAACACCTCCAAGGCCGGTAGGTTCTGGAAGTGATACTTCCCCACCACCTGCAATTTGTTGGAAGATAGGTCCAGGTATCGTAGACCGCTGACGTTATGGAAAGCTCCCGGGCTGAGCAAGGAGATGCGGTTATGGGACATATGCAAAGTGTGCAGCCTTGGGAGCCCGTAGAAGCTGTCGGCTGCCAGCCATGTTAGTCTGTTATGACTGAGGTCCAAGACAGAAGTCGTGACTGGAAGCAGGTTGGGAAATCTATCCAGACCTAAAGAGCCACAGTTCAGTATGTCAGAGGTGCACAGGCAGCCCTGAGGACAACTAGCTCCTGAGAGCCGAAACAAGAGCGAGATCAAAACCATATAATATGTAGAGATCATTCTTTTGGTTGCACGTTAAAAGGATTACATCAGGAACAGTGCTGGCACAGTTGGAGAAACACTCAACACAGGAAGCCCTCTGCTCTTAAATCCCAGAAAGGTCATTTTCCAATTGTCATGTCCTCCAGTATTTCACAAGAGCAGATCATCAGAGCATAAGAGCAGATGGACAGTATCTGGGGCAAGGAATGCACTTAGAATAAAAGAGTCTGTAAATATGATTTATAATTAAAATTTGTTTTACATTGTTTAACGTATTCTATTAGCACAATATACACAGGAAAGCCTACCAGAAAAGTCACTTAGAACCTTCTTAGATCTGGTTCCTCTGTTCTTACTTTGACGTATCAATCCATAATTAGAAGTTCTTCAAACCGATTATCCTGATTTGAAAATATCCAGTAAGTCCAAAGCGTTTTCCAGCAAGTTTTATATTTCCCTAAACGAAACTCGCACCTTTCCCATGCAGTTCTCCTGAGATTGAGCACCCTTGTTTGTAGAGTGTTCTTTCATTGAGTGATGAGTCCACAGAGTGCAGCACCAATCTCTTCCCATCCTTCCCTCTGCTTCCTATTCAGAGCACCGCCTCATGTCTCTCCCTCTCATGCTGTGATTATTCCCGATACGGCTCTCTCTTTCTATCTTTCTTTCTACTCTCTCACTCTGTCTCTTTCTCTCTCCAATTGTTTAGTTCCTTTAATCCCCACGGGATTTGTCTTTTTCCGTTTCAATTTTTTTTCCCTCACAGACTATCTCTTAACAGGATTTCGGATGCTGTGTTTGTATCGTCTTACATTTCACGAAAATCATCAAAATTCAAAACATTTGGACTTGGATGAGAGAGAATATGTTTGTATGGCATGAGGTACCAGTTAGCTTTGACTCCCCCTCATCTCCGCTGCCAGGCAGTGTTTGGCAGCTGTTGTCGGTTGTCTTGGTCATGGTGGTCCTGAGAGAGCTGACTGCTGTCACACTGAATTGGTCTTGGTTTGTTTGTGCTTCTCCAGAGGCCTTTGGCACAGTTTGTCTCCCACAGTTATCATCCTGTACATCTGAATGGTAGTATTGATATTTTATCTAAATGATTTGAATATCTAACTGTTCTAGTTTCATTTGATTAGCTGAACATCTATCTATCTATCACTTTGATTGAGGTAAACATTGTTACCTCGTTTGAAAATAATTACATAATGAAATCCACCTTCAATTCATATGTCCATGCTTTTTAATAGATGGGTGCAAAATGAGGCCCATGAAAGCATAATGTTTCGGAATATAATAGATCTTGGAGTCAAGGCAAGTTAATCAGTCGCAGCATGTGACAAATCTAAAGCTGTGAAATGGAATTAGGATGTTTGTTTTTATAGAGTGCCATTCTGTTGGGGTGGCATCTCTTCAGAAACACTGATGCATGGCATAGATAGCTGGCAGCAGTCACATTGACAGAAGCACAGAGTAGCTACTCCCACACACAAGACCAAACACTGATAAGTCTTACAGTATTCCAGAAAATGACTGGAAACAGCTTTGCACAGTATATCTACTACTCTACACTCACATGATCTGGGCACACGAGATGCTGAATGTGGTGGAAATTATGTGGTGGAAATTAACTGAACAGGGAGAAGCTTTGAATTCAGTTGCAGCCTTATATATTGTCTTTGATAATAAACCATTTAAAGTCCCCCTGTAGTAGTCAATAATTGTATCCCTTAAAACTCATCTTTGAATCACCAAAATGACATATTTAAACGTTTTTTCCCGTGAAATAAAATTATTCATGCCTTAAAATAGCTTGAATGTAACTACACCCTTGCTTCATCCACTATATGCGGATTCATGAATATGCTAATTAACGCATCTTCACTCACTCACGCCAGCTCAGAGATCCAGTCAATTTACTGAGGTAAACTCTGCACATTGGTATCGCTCTTTACAAGGTCAAACACATAACCGTAATTAATATGATTAGCCTTTTGCTTGACAACGTTATCAAACAGCTTATAATGTGTTGCTAATGCTACACAAACCATGTTCATGTTCACATCTTAGAGTCAGTCAGCTGCCTTCTAAAATTCAGTAGGCCTAGCCTATCCTTACAAATGCTTTGAACAACTCAGAACGTCAGTGGAGAAAGGCATGTAGTTCATCATAACATCGTATTCGTAATATACATCATACACCTACTATATTGCTAAATCTACCCGATTTTTCATATCAACAGAAAAATATACCGTGATAACCTGTCTTCTCTTGAGACTCCACTGCTTCAGAGCGGTCTTAATGATATGCAAAAGCCTGCCCGCATGTTGACGTGATTAGTTTCAAGGTAGTTTGTGACTTAAAGTTTAAAAACTTTAGACTTAAACTGTGTCACTCAGTTTTGGGTGAAAACATTTCTAAAATTAAATCTCAATCACATAAACCCGCAATGCACCATTTGGAAAGTCCGATGCTCGAACTGTCTAGCAGGACGTCAGGGTGAGAGCGAAGAGTAAGGTTTGGTCTGTTTGTTTTATTTTTTGGAAAGTATAGCCTACTGTCGAGGTCTTTTTGTACCCTGTACCCAAAGGTTTTTTTTACAATGGTATTTTTCAAAACTAGGTTGTTCCAAAGTCATTAAATTAAATAATTTATAGTTTTATTATTTAATGTATTATAATTTCATAGACGTTGGATCATCAAACAGGTTGTTCATATAAACAAACAGTAGGTGGAAGCACTAGCATAGCCTATGTGACAAATTACATGATTTTAGTCCAGTGAATTTATGCTGAATGGGACACTTTAAATAAAAAATGTGTTGGCTAAAACAGTGGTTGAATTTTACTTTTTCCATTTTTCGTTTTTGTTTTGTAATTGTTCAGATAAAGCTACTGAATATCTAGTTATGTGCCTGCTCACGTGATTAATAGCCTATACATGCTATAAACACAATGTTATGAAATACAGATTTTTTTAGGCAGTGTTGGTTTTTGCTTCTATCATGCCCCATTTAGTGTGACAAAATGCCTTTTTTTGTTTTCCCACCTCAGTTTGTTTCTTCTTTGTGTTTGAGGTGTTTGTGTTGGCCTGTCGAGGAGGTGGACTCAAGCATTCATTTCCTCCTGCTGACCTCCTCTCTTCAGCAGTGAACTCACACAGAGACTCTGCGTGAGGTGATCGATTGGAGACAACGGGCAGTAATTCCTCCTCTGGAGAATGTGCAAATGAGATTAATTGATCGAGTTCACCATGGAGGCAGTGAGGAGAGTCATAATTAGTTACACTGAATAGTGTGCTGTCTGTATGTTTGTTCATGTGGATCTCTGTCTTTGTTAGTGAGCAAGACTGCAGGTCTATTCATCACATTCAATATATTGTAACAATAAGACTTGTTATTGCTTGAGCAAACAATTAGAAGGGCAACAGAGATTATTCTCTCTATTCATCTGAAATGTATTTTATCTCATGTATGGACCAAAAACCTTATAGCAACCGGGTTTTTTTTTCTTCTATATTTGTTGCTTGATTTTACCAATGCACGCTTCCATTTTAAATCATTACCCTAATATGTGTTTTGGTCATTATTGTCTTTTTGGTAGTCAGACATTTTTCAATTACAGGCTAAATGAGGTACTGTCGCATAATTAGCCCACATTTAAAGTGTATTACAACTTGCTTTTAGGCCACAGCACAGAGTATTGTATCTTGCCTAATGACTCGAAAATAATGAGAAAAATATTTTAGCTCCATTTCCATGGATACAGACCCATGACTGATTAATCTGCTTTGCCCTTAATTATGGCATGCTTCATTTGTGGTTCTATTGGATATATACAGCTGATTATTTGTAAGAAATTTGTCTGAATATACTGTAATGTATAAAAACGTAAAAAAGTAAGTAACCAGGTTGCCTTAAAATTTTGAGTTAATTGAAATTAAAAATTTGAGTTAAGACAATGGAGATTGGTTAAATCAACAGAAACTCAAAATATTATGTTATCTGGACCACATAAATGATCTAAGTTGATTTGACAAAAGAAAAAAGGTTGTGATAACAAATCATGAACATATTTTTTTCAGTGCATACACACACACACACGCACACCTTTTTTTCCTTTCTTTTTTTGATGGGCCAAAATGGTGGCCTTTTTTAAATAATGGCCTTTTTGCAGTCACGACTTCACCATATGTGGCTAAACAGAAACTTTTTCCAGAGAGATATTCACTGGAATTAAAGGTGTGTGTCACCGTGTTGCTGATACACGACAATGTTACTGAATACCAAATGGGGGCAGTAGTGTTCACTAAATGACAGCTTGCACCGATGCACTCCATTAGTGAGGCTGTGTCACTCACTGCACCCCCACAACCCATGTAATTTGTTATAATAGTCGGAGCATGCGAGGCACAGGAGGGTTCGAGGGAGGATCGCAAATAGATCACTAATTCTTCATTTCGAAAGTCTAGATCCCGCATTCCAGTGGAAGCACGTGTTTTTTTCTTTTCTTCTGTATGACGAGAACAAAGATTTTAACTGACATTGTGACGAATAGGGAAATGCACTGAATCAACAAATCAGATATCAATGATTATTATTTTAGTAACAAGCACTTTTCTGTCATTGCAAATAATAACACAGAATAAGATTATGTAAAGCGAGCAATTTCTTGTCTTAAGCAGTACCAATTGAACCCTTGAAGACTTTGAAGTTAAATTAAAAGGCTGTAAGATAAATCTAGGCTATACTTGTTAGTTTTGATCACAAACTGTTCACTTTAGTTCTCTTCATGTGTCAAAGTAACTAGGGGATGCATACATCCAGGATGCAGACAGCGCGTGTGAGCATTCAGGGGAGGGCGAAGTAACTGATGCTGAGCCAATGGAGATAGTCGTGCGAGACGCATCTGTCCGAAACCCAAACTAACCGCTGGCAAAACGCTGTCTCCGGTATGATGCACGGTGAGATGAAAATCTGATTGAAGTTTGAAGAAGCTCCCTCTTATTCACTGACTTTTGGAGATTCGCACGGGCAGGACTAAACGAAAAGGTAATACTACGCACGAGAAGGTTATTGTTGAAAGTTTTGTCGTGTTATTTTGCATAGCCTATAGCCTACTCCAGGCACTGTTTGTGCCTGTTTTTGAGAAGATCCACC